GGGCAGCTCTCCCTCACACCCACACACCCACAGCAGGGGGCAGCTCTCCCTCACACCCACCCACAGCAGGGGGCAGCTCTCCCTCACACCCACCCACAGCAGGGGGCAGCTCTCCCTCACACCCACCCACAGCAGGGGGCAGCTCTCCCTCACACCCACACACCCACAGCAGGGGCAGCTCTCCCTCACACCCACACACCCACAGCAGGGGGCAGCTCTCCCTCACACCCACCCACAGCAGGGGGCAGCGCGCCCTCCCACCCACCCACAGCAGGGGGCAGCTCTCCCTCACACCCACCCACAGCAGGGGGCAGCTCTCCCTCACACCCACCCACAGCAGGGGGCAGCTCTCCCTCACACCCACCCACAGCAGGGGGCAGCTCTCCCTCACACCCACCCACAGCAGGGGGCAGCTCTCCCTCACACCCACCCACAGCAGGGGGCAGCTCTCCCTCACACCCACCCACAGCAGGGGGCAGCTCTCCCTCACACCCACCCACAGCAGGGGGCAGCTCTCCCTCACACCCACCCACAGCAGGGGCAGCTCTCCCTCACACCCACCCACAGCAGGGGCAGCTCTCCCTCACACCCACCCACAGCAGGGGCAGCTCTCCCTCACACCCACCCACAGCAGGGGCAGCTCTCCCTCACACCCACCCACAGCAGGGGCAGCTCTCCCTCACACCCACCCACAGCAGGGGGCAGCTCTCCCTCACACCCACCCACAGCAGGGGGCAGCTCTCCCTCACACCCACCCACAGCAGGGGCAGCTCTCCCTCACACCCACCCACAGCAGGGGGCAGCTCTCCCTCACACCCACCCACAGCAGGGGGCAACTCTCCCTCACACCCACACACCCGCAGCAGGGGGCAACTCTCCCTCACACCCACCCACCCGCAGCAGGGGGCAACTCTCCCTCACACCCACCCACCCACAGCAGAGGGCAGCTCTCCCTCACACCCACACACCCACAGCAGGGGGCAACTCTCCCTCACACCCACCCACCCACAGCAGAGGGCAGCTCTCCCTCACACCCACAGCAGAGGGCAGCTCTCCCTCACACCCACACACCCACAGCAGAGGGCAGCTCTCCCTCACACCCACACACCCACAGCAGAGGGCAGCTCTCCCTCACACCCACACACCCACAGCAGAGGGCAGCTCTCCCTCACACCCACACACCCACAGCAGAGGGCAGCACCCCACGCTCACGTTATATCAAGTGGTCGACAGACGGGTAATTGATAAAGCCACAGAGGGCTGGTGTGCAGCGGGGCAGACTGGCAGGGAGGAGAGGACCAGGCCACCACACGGGAACACACACGCACACGCGCGCCCAGGATAGACGAGGCTAGGCCAAGATACACGAGGACAAACCCCCCCATTGGAACATGTCTCTCCAGTGGTGTTGGAGGTGGGGTGCCCCGACTTAGTGGGCCTTTCTGTGGCTTGTGAAGTAGTCCATCTCACAATTTGACAAGCGTCTAACGCGTAGGCGCCTACCTAAACCTAAAAATGTCCCGGGCGGGACAGAAATGGTTGAGATTTCCTTTCACCTAATGCCTCTGTTCACCTAGCAGTGAAGAGATACTCAGAATCAGCTTGTGGGGTTGCATCCTTGGTGGGGTCAGTAAATTGGCCTTGGGGGTGGGTGGGGGAAGGGGGAGTCGGACCTCGATAAAAGCCAAACGTGTATGAATACACTCTGGCTTCCTGTCCCCCGACACTGAATTATGAATTCACAGTGTCGGACCCGACACAGATTGGTCAGTGTTGGACCAATCACACCAATGTAACTCATCAAGGGCGATGCTCATCAGTCTGAGAAAACACATTGGGTGTGAAGACGAGGCTGCTTTGACCCGTCTGCTGCCCAAAAGACAGAAGACCTCCCTCGCTGTTCCACCTGTCAAAAGTAATTACTGAAAGTAGGGAGATGGATCTTTAATTTCCTAAGTAACAAACCCCAATGTGAAAATAATCGTGAAAATAAAATGAAAGATCAACCGCCGTGAAGAGCACAGTCCCCCCAGGGTACTGTGCCTGCTCCAGTGCGTTTTCCCATCGTCATATTGGACATAGACAAGGTCACAAACTATAGTTTGTGACCTTGTCACCTTGAGTTTGGGTGCCGGTCGGCCGAGCGGACAGCACGCTAGACTTGTGATCCTGTAGTCCTGGGTTCGATCCCAGGCGCCGGCGAGAAACAATGGGCAGAGTTTCTTTCACTCTATGCCCCTGTTACCTAGCAGTAAAATAGGTACCTGGGAGTTAGTCAGCTGTCACGGGCTGCTTCCTGGGGGTGGAGGCCTGGTCAAGGACCGGGCCGCGGGGACACTAAAAAAAAAGCCCCGAAATCATCTCAAGATAACCTCAAGATAGTGTGGAATGTTGCTGCACAATGACATTCCCTTTCAAAGGTGGTGAAATTGCTGACCTGGAGAATGTGCAAAGATCTTTTACTGCTCGAATCTGCTCAATAAAACATGTAAATTATTGGACTGCTTAAAATGTTTAAATCTGTAATCTATCTGGGGCGCAGGCGAGAGAGATGCATAATACGGTAATTTACACTTGGAAGATATTAGACACAGCGCATCTCATCCGGAGGTTTTCCGGACCATATGGTTCCTTGAGGGGTTAGCCGTCACATAATATACACCTGGAAGATACTGGAGGCCTCGTCCCAAATTAGCACAATAGTAGTAACGATATTGAAGTGAACGATATTGAAGGAAATGCAGAAAAGAGCCAGTGAAGAGCATGGGTGCCATAGGAACAATCAGAGAACACTGTATATAAATCAGAAGTCCGCGGTTGTTCAACATCCTCCCAGCGAGTATAAGAAATATTGCCAGTACAAAAGGAGAACTGTTCAAGAGAAAGTTAGTTTCCTGGTAGAAGTACCGGCCCAACAGAGTTGTAGTGGACATATGGGTGTGTGGGCCACTTCAAGCATCAGGCTTGGAGCAAGTTGTCGCAAGTTCAGCCTGGCCCCAGGTTGTGCTCGGGGAGTAGATGAACTCCCGGAACCCTCTTCGGGTATATCCTGAAATCTATCTCCTCACTGTGACTTGTTGCTTATCCACTGGACCACCTCCCCTTTCACTACTGCTTGTTTCTCCACTTGTCTCGCTCTCTCTGTCTGTCTCTCGTGCGGGGTACTGTGTCGACGGCTTGCTCACACTCCAACATGGTCTGTCCCCCACCCTTCTCTCACCCTAGAAAGTTATCAGTCAATAAAGAAATAAATCAGTTGAAGGATCTTTCATGTACCGGGTAATCATTCCCCATCTCGCAAATTAATGGGCTTCCACTCCCGACACAGTACAGTACTTGTAATTCAATTATGAGTATATGGATATATCCTGTCTGGGACAGGAAACTCTTAATTTGGCTTGTCGGGGGTCCCCTAGCCAAGGGCAGAGCTGTTTAACTGGTTATCCATCCAGTTACTGGCTTGACCCAACGGATGGATGTAAAGAGGACCTGTCTGTGCGGGTCAGTGGGTTGACAGAGGCTCCCCCACACCATCACAGTTCCTTTGTGTATTAGCACATTATCGTATTATAGTCCTCCTTGTGCTGACGAGGAGTCACAATAACGTGGCTGAAATATGTTGACCGAACCACACACTGGTCGTCGTCCCTTCACTTTCTATTCTCAACGTCGTCGTCCCTTCACTTTCTAGTGTGTGGTCTGGTCAACAAAGCCTTGTGATAATCCATTTTCTTTCAAATAAATGAACCTGATTTGAGTCGGTAAAATACCCACGGTAGTCTTATAAACTGACGTCATACAATATTTATCATTCTCCATTAAATATCTCCAGTAGGTGGGATGCTCTTTTTATTTTAATTGGCTTCTGAGCACTGTCTTGAGATCTGTTTTATATATTGTTCAATCTTACAGCATCTATGTAGTTCAGAGTCCTGGGCAAGGTACAGCAATCTGTGTTGTTCCTTCACTAGCAGTAGGCTGAATGGAAATCGATTGGCGGTTCGTGTCCTGTCACGTCCAGCGTTAACAAATAATTTACAAACTAGCATGTGGATACGTTAGTTAGGTCATAGGGTTTACCAAGTGTACTTGTGTAAACTCGAGCTGACCCTTTTACAACACAGTCCAGAGAAAGTATCGAGATTCTTCAGCGTTTAAAGTTGCTATCATTTGTGTTAGTTAAATATATAACAAATATAGAACACGAAACTATGGATATAAATTGGATAAGTTTAGATTTTAAGATCTTGGTAAATACTGGTTTAGAAACACGGTTGTCGATTTCTGAGACATTACCGACTAACGTGATGGACGTGAGACCAATTAGTTGTTTAATGTTCAGGTTAGAGAAGTATGACTGAGTTTGGGTAAGATATAAATAGGATCTGCCTTGTGTAACACAATAGGCCTTCTGCTGTTTCCTTTGACATAATCTTCTTTCCCCATCCTAAGTTATTTGAGGAGAGTGAAGATACTGAATTTAAAGATTCATTAAGACCTTTACCCATTGTTACCACGATATCTTAATTCTTGTCTTACTATACAGCAATAGCCAATCATCTTTGCCTATTTTTTGTTTTATTATAATTATTAATATTTGCTTGTATTTTCATTGCCATTAGGTATCCTTGATTCTTTTTATTACGGATGCCTTTGTGTTGTGTAATATATACTGAATTTAATCTTCATGAGCCTCTTGTGGTTGTATTAAAAATAATATACAGCATTGTGAATGCTAATTATAATTATGGTTATATGCATTATTCGAACAGATTTATATTTTCCACTAGAAATAACGAATAAAAGAGTGCATTGTAATTCTAATTTAATCAGAGTAGGGGAGAGTAGCAACAGAGGGGGAATTTGTATTTTGAATTTAATATTGTTTGTATATATATTGGTGTTAAATTTGAGCATGATAACCGATGCAACCATGAGACTGCACCTGTAATGTTGGGTAAATATTTAACTGGCCATGTTACACATATCATTACTTGCAGGTGTACTGGGTAGCACCTCTGCTGGGAGGCGTGACAGCTGGCCTCATCTACGAGTACATCTTCAACCCCCACAGACTGCCACGCTCCCGTAAGGACTCCATTGACGGAGGTGAGTTCTATTGAACTAGTATAGCCAATGCCAAGAGATAGGCTTCACAGTTTGGGGAGATCCACAACCATTCCAATATTATCTTACAATTCTTCTTCCCCCAGATATTAGAGCAGAACGAGATAATGGTGAATAGGGTAAAGGTAGACTACAAAGGACCCATTTTTAAATTTTGGGTCAAGATATGGTGTGAAAAACCCCGTATACTTTATGTAGATCTCGTACACTTTCACTGAGACTTCGTAGGCAATAGACTTAAATGGGGATTTTAGTGTGTAGAGTTGTAAACAAAGTACTCGCCTAGTTGTCCTTGCGGGGGTTGAGTTTTGGCTCTTTGGTCCCGCCTCTCAACTGTCAGTCAACTGGTATCCAGATTTTGGAGCCTATTGGGCTCTCTCATGTCTACATTTGAAACTGTGTAAGGAGTCAGCCTCCACCACATCATCGACTAATGCATTCCATTTGTTAACTACTTGAACACTGAACAAATCTTTCTAATGACCATGTGGCTCATCTGGGTACTAAGTTTCCACCTGTGTCCCCTTGTTCGTGTTCCACCCGTGCTGAAGAGTTTGTCTTTGTCCACCCTGTCAATTCCCCTGATAATTTTGTAGGTGGTTTATCATGTCTTCCCTTACTCTTCTGTCTTCCAGACGTGAGGTCTAGCTCCCGTAGCCTTTCCATATAGCTCATACCTCTCAGTTCTGGGACTAGTCTGGTGGCATACCTCTCAATCTTCTCTAACTTTGTCTTATATCTAACGAGGTATGGACTCCAGGCTGGAGCTGCATACTCCAGGATTGGTCTGGCATAAATAGTATACAAGGTCCTGAACGATTCATTACACAAGTTTCTAAAGGCAGTTCTAATGTTGGCCAATCTAGCATATGTCACTAATGATATCCTTTTGATGTGGGCTTTTGGGGACAGGTTCTGTGTGATATCAAACCCCAGATCTTTCTCTCTATTTGACTCTTGGAGGGTTTCACCTCCCAGATGATAGCTTGTGTTCAGCCTCCTGCACCCTTCGCCTAATTTCATTACTTTACACTTTCCTGAGTTGAACTTTAACAGCCATTTTCTAGATCATTCCACCAGTTTGTCCTGTAGTCTCTGTCAATCTTCATCAGTTTTGATTCTTATAATTTTTGCATCATCAGCAAACATTGAGAGGAATGAGTCTATACCCTCTGGAAGATCGATTACATATATCGGAAACAGGATGGGTCCAAGTACAGAACCCTGTGGGACTCCACTGGTGACATCTCGCCACTCTGATGTCTCCCCCTCACAGTTACTCGCCGTTTCCAGTTGCCTTATCCACTGGAGCACCTTACCTTTTACTCCTGTCTGTTTCTCCAGCGTTTGTAACAGCCTTTTATGGGGTACTGTGTCAAAGGCTTTCTGACAGTCCCCAGAAAATGCAGTCTGTCCACTCTTCTCTTTCTTGCCTAATTTTTGTTGCCTGGTCATGGAATTCTATTAAGCCTGTGAGGTACGATTTACCATCCCTGAACCCATGCTGGTGGTGTGTGTCACAAAACTTTCCCTACAGATGTTCTACGAACCTTTTCCTCACGATCTTCTCCATCACCTTGCATGGTATACAAGTTAGGGAAACTGGCCTGTAGTGCAGTGCCTCTTGCCTGTCACCCTTTTTGTATATTGGGACTACATTAGCTGTCTTTCCCATAGGTCTCCTGTTTCCAGTGACTTGTTATACACCATAGTGTGTGGCACACTTAGAGCTTCTGCACCCTCTTTTAGTATCCATGGTGAGATTCTGTCAGGCCCAGTAGCCTTTGTCACATTCAGCTCCAACAGATTCCTTTTTACCTCATCACTGGTGAGCTCAAATTCCTCCAAGATTGCTTGGTTTGTCGCCTTCTCTCTTAGTACAGAGGTGTCTCCATACTCTATTGTGTAGACCTGCTGGAATCTCTTGTTGAGTTCTTCACATACCTCCTTGTCATTCTGTGTATCTGTTCTCCTTTATTCTGTTTCATTACTTGTTCCTTCACTGCTGCTTTCCTCCTGATGTGGCTGTGGAGCAGTTTTGGTTGGGTCTTGGCTTTACTCGCGATGTCATTTTCATTACACACAGAAATCACAATTGCGTGATGCATCAAATGAACAAATCCACAAGGGCCATGACGAGGATTCGAACCTGTGTCCGAGAGCATCTCAGATGCTGCCTTAATCGACTGAGCTTCAATGCAGGCGATGAGTCACAATAACGTGGCTAAAGTATGTTGACCAGACCACACACACTAGAAGGTGAAGGGACGACGACGTTTCGGTCCGTCCTGGACCATTCTCAAGTCGATTGTGATGAGGAAGTAGAGACAGGCAATAAATAGACAAGAGAGAGCTGAGGAGGAAAGTAAGGTGTAGTAGAGGGGATAGTAGTAATAAGAAGAGCTGCAGAAGGCCTATTGGCCCATACGAGGCAACTCCTATTATAACCACCGATTGAGAAGGAGATAGTAATAATAAGAAGAGGATAGCAAGGGAGCGTAGGAGAAGACAATGAACAGAAAAAGGGAGAGAAAGAAAGAAAGGAAAGAGATAAATGGAAGGGGTAAGCTTATGTTAAGTCACGTTTGTTAGAAAGATTAGAGCATTTGAGTATATACTGTGAAAGGGAAGAGTCCACAGCAACAAAGCCAGGACTCAAGTTCATGTTGGGTACATTGTGTATTAGAGCCGATTCAACAAGACGGTGTCTGTGTAGAGTAGAGGCAGGAAAGATTATTTTGGAAGAAGACCAATCAATGGGATGATTAGAATCCCTCACATGACAGAAGAGAGCATTGTTAGTGTCTGCAGACTTAACACTTCTCTTGTGTTCTTTAAGTCTGTCATTAAGTATACGACCAGTTTCGCCAAAGTATTGGAGAGGACAAGACGAACAGGAAATAGAGTAGACACCAGCAGCATTAGAAGCAGGAGGAGCAGTGTGAACTAGATTGCTACGAAGTGTGTTAGTTTGTCAAAAGGCGAGTTTAATGTCAAGAGGACGAAAGGTATTGGTAAAAGTTTTGAGTTCAGATATGAAGGGAAGGCATAGTACAGTGCTACTAGTGTTGGAAGCAGGTTTAGGGTGAAAGAAATTTTGTTTAGCTTGAGAGTAGGCACAGTTGATGAAATGCAAAGGGTTAACCAAGGCGAGAGAATGATTTGTAGATAAAGGCAATTTCAGAGTCCAGAAACTGAGGGTCGCTGATGCGTAGAGTGTGGAGGAAGAGAGAGACGAGGACACTTTTCTTAACAGAAGGAGGATGGTAGGAAAAGAAGTGAATGTACATGCCACTATGCATGGGTTTACGGTAGAGAAAGAGAACCCGGACACAGAGTTGTGAACATGAACATCAAGAAAAGGAAGGAGGGAATTAGATTCCCACTCAACTTTGAAATGGATAGAAGGAGCCAGATTGTTAAGAGAGGCGAGGAAAGGCTGGAAAAGATTAAGGTCATGAGGCCATAAAGCAAAAATGTCATCAATAGCGAAGCCAGAGAGAGGGACGAGTATCAATAGAAGGAAGAAGAACAGTTTCGAAGTATTCCATGTAGAAATTAGCAAGAACAGGGGAGAGAGGGGAACCCATAGCGATCCGAAATTTGAGTGTAATATTTACCGTTGAAAGAGAAAGAGTTAGATTCGTTCATGTCCACAGCTGTGTCTGGGTTCTCTTTCTCTGTCTACCATAAACCCATACATAGTGGCATGTACATTCACTTCTTTTCCCACCATCCTCCTTCTGTTAAGAAAAGTGTCCTCGTCTCTCTCTTCCTCCGCGCTCTACACATCAGCGACCCTCAATTTCTTGATTCTGAAATTGCCCTTATCTACAAATCATTCTCTCGCCTTGGTTACCCTTTGCATTTCATCAACTGTGCCTACTCTCAAGCTAAACGAAATTTCTTTCATCCTAAACCTGCTTCCAACACTAGTAGCACTGTACTATGCCTTCCCTTCATATCTGAACTCAAAACTTTTACCAATACCTTTCGTCCTCTTGACATTAAACTCGCCTTTCGACAAACTACACACTTCGTAACAATCTAGTTCACACTGCTCCTCCTGCTTCTAATGCTGCTGGTGTCTACTCTATTTCCTGTTCATCTTGTCCTCTCCAATACTTTGGCGAAACTGGCCGTACACTGAATGACAGACTTAAAGAACACAAGAGAAGTGTTAAGTCTGCAGACACTAACAATGCTCTCTTCTGCATGTGAGGGATTCTAATCATCCCATTGATTGGTCTTCCTCCAAAATAATCTTTCCTGCCTCTACTCTACACAGACGCCGTCTTGTAGAATCGGCTCTTATACACAATGTACCCAACATGAACTTGAGTCCTGGCTTTGTTGCTGTGGACTCTTCCCTTTCACAGTATATACTCAAATGCTCTAATCTTTCTAACAAACGTGACTTAACATAAGCTTACCCCTTCCGTTTATCTTTCTTTCTCTTTCTTTCTCTCTTCTCCCTTTTTCTGTTCATTGTCTTCTCCTACGCTCCCTTGCTATCCTCTTCTTATTACTATCTCCTATCTCCTTCGGTGGTTATAATAGGAGCTGCCTCGTATGGGCCAATAGGCCCTCTGCAGTCTTCTTATTACTACTATCCCCCCTACACCTTACTTTGCTCCTCAGGTCTCTCTTGCCTATTTATTGCCTGTCTCTACTTCCTCATCACAATCGACTTGAGAATGGTCCAGGACGGACCGAAACGTCGTCGTCCCTTCACCTTCTAGTGTGTGGTCTGGTCAACATACTTCAGCCACGTTATTGTGACTCATCGCCTACTCTCCTTGCTCTCTGGTGATGTAATCTCCGTGTTCAGATTTGAAACTAGTCTCTTTTTTTTTTTTTTTTTTTTTTTTTTTTTTTTTTTTTTTTTTTTTTTTTTTTTTTTTTTTCTACCACAGACGTGGCCACACATTTACAATGCTAACCAGAATATTCATTTTCTTCTATTCTTCTATTCTCCATGG